ACAGTTTTAGATTTATTTATCTCACTTTTTGCATTCTTTCAAAAGTGCTTCTGGTTTTGTATTTTAATTCTCTATATGATTTTTTTCTCCTTCAGATAAAGGGCTATTAAGATAAAATTGTCCCATATTTGATTGGCATCTGTTGTAAGCATTCACTAACTGACCATCATTTATACTTTTGTGTTACTGTGACATAGTTTTACTATTCACATTGCTACTTTCTTTATTATGTAAATACAAAATGGCTGCATAAATTTATCAATGAACTTCACTTAGCTTTTTTCAGGAATAGACATTAGAGGGCCACACTGGTTATACCATTTGGAAAGTGCTATGTCCCATAGACTTGTACTCTGAAAACACATAGATTGAGATTCCACCTGCTATGTTGATTTTAAGATTTGGCGTAATTAGAAATGATTAGGTAGAGTCTCTTGAATGGGCTCAGGGCTCTTGTGAAAGAGATATAAGAAGAAGACACAGTGAGTAGGCATCCTTTAAAAATAACATCATCATCATCAGGTAATGAATATGTCAGTACCTTAACTATAACCTTGTCAGTTTCCAGAAATGAGAGAAACAGTTCTGCTCTCCACAAGCCACTTAGTCTGTGGGCTATGACCTTTAAAAAAACCATGTATCCTGCATAGACCAACACTGGGAGTTTTTTCTTCTCCTACTGAATATATTGCCTCAACACCAACATAATAAAGTAAGTTTGTATGTGAATATGGAATTAATTTGTAACACTTAAACTCCTCTCATCAGCAGTATTATCAGTAAGGGATCTAGTACTGTTTTATTTGAGGAGTTTTGGCGTGTACCACTGAAGCAGAGGAAAAAATTTGGAGACTGGAGATGTTTACAGGAATAGCTTCAAAGAAATGCCAATAAAGCAGAAAGAAGTAAAATAAACCCAGAGCTTAGTTTTGTTTAGAGTGAAATCCCCACATGCATTAATTCAAGTGGGATTAAGTTTGAGGGACTTGTCAACGTTGCTGTACACCACGGTTGGATGATACTTCCCTTATGTAAGCCAGATATGTTTAGCAGCCCTGGCTGTCCTTGAAATTAGCTTCAGAATTCTTAACTATGCATAAGCTTTTGCCTTACTGTTGTGCTTGGCAGAAAGCAATTATTTTGTCTCTTTAAATATGATTCATTAACTTACAATAAATGAATATGCTTTGTGAATGAATGTACTAATAACTCAGGACAGGAAGGCATGCTAATTAGTTTATGGTTCTCTGCTGGTCATTTACTTACTGTTTTGGAGTGTTCAACTAAGAATATGAATTGGCTTTTTTTTGTTTTTCTGATATTTAATTTTTTCACTTTTATTGGTTATTTTATTTATTTACATTTCAAATGTTACCACCCTTCCCAGTTTCCCCTCCACAACCCTCTTCTTCCCTCCCTCTCTCCCTGCTTCTATGAGGGTACTCCCTTACCAGTCCACCCATTCCTGCCTCAGCTCCCTAGCATTCCCCTACCCTGGGTCATTGAGCCTCCACAGGACAAGAGTCATCCCTCCCAATGATGCCAGATAAGGCAATCCTCTGCTACATATCCAGCTGGAGCTATAGGTCCCCTCGTGTGTAGTCTTTGGTTGGTGGTTTAGTCCCTGGGAGCTTTGGGTGAATTACCTAATTTTTAATCATAGTTTTCATTACCATCTTTCTCTAAAGCAAATAAATAAATAATTAACCCAAAAAACATAAAACAAACAAACAAACACCCAAAGAACAATAGCAACATCAACAAAAAAATCCAAAACCCCCAAATAAGTGTATATAACTTTTTGTTATATTATCTATAATATTGTATCATTTGATTGCCATGCTAATATCTGATTGTGTTAATTATACTTCATAGAACTAATACTTTAGACCTTGATTCATGACATTTATGAAATGTCTTATTATTAATATATATATATATATATAAACATTTACTATCATAATCATTTTCAGATGTACCAGTCAGCTCTGAAGACATACAGAGAGCTAGCATTGTCAGACAAAACATGCAAAACATGTTATATTTAGGAATATATATGTACATACATGTATGCATGTATCAACAATTAGAAGACAGGGTTTTTCCATGAAGACCTGGCTGTCCCGGAACTCTGTGTAGTTCAGGCTAGCCTCGAACTCGGAGATCTGCCTGCCTCTGCCTCTTGAGTGCAGTGACTAATGAAGTGCCTCACCATGACAGACAGGTGGGAGGGGGTGATGAATTTGAAGGAGAGCTAGAAGGAATAGATAAAAGGGTTTGGAGGAAGGGAAAGAAACAAACTTAATAATTAAATTGAAATCTCAAAAATAAAAATAAGGTAAATAAAAAATTCATCACAGTGTTCTGAAGCCTCGTTTTAAGCCTCTTGTTATCTTGCAAACTAAACTTGTATTCCCAGTAAATGACAACTTCTCCTTCCTTTCACCTCCAGTTCCTTCAAACACCAATTTTTACAGTGTCTATAAACTGGAATAGTCTAGTATCTCGTGCAAGTAGAATGATTCAGAATTATTTTTAGCTTATTTCACTCACCCCATAGTCGTCAAGTTTCATCCATAACAAATAATGTTTCTTTCTATTTACAGGTTAGATTTTCTTTATCTATTCATATATCAATCGATGGATGTTATTTACATCTTTCCACTATTACTATTCATTTAGCATTGAACATAGACATGCAATTGTAAACATATATGTTTATGTACGTGTATATATATAATATATATGTGCATTTATGCACTTATATGTAGGTATGTGTGTGTATGTAGGTGTGTGTGTATATATGTAGGTGTGTGTGTTTGTGTGTGTATGTAGGTATGTGTGTGTATGTAGGTATGTGTGTATATGTAGATTTATGTGTCTGTGTGTGTATGAACATATATAAAGCATAGCCGGGAATTGTGTGTCTGGTTGGACCTTGAGTCAGGTCCTGGTCCCCTTCCTGTGAGCCCTCCTATAAGCAGTCACCAGGAAACTATGAAAAGAGTGGTTCGTGGTTCAAGGTTCATTTGACTCCCTTGGCACAATTTACAGTACTTTAGTTCTCACTAAATAGAAACCATTCACCTTATCCTTGGTTCCCACGAAGCAGCTGAAACCATGAGTCCCCTCAATAAAGTCTCAATAAAGCACTGAACCCCTCCAAGGCTCTGAACTTCTTACCCCTTCTCTGTGGATTTGCTCTCCTTCAAGGGCCAGTTAAATATCAGCTTTTGAAAAACACGTTCAATGTTCACCTTTACTTTTACCATGGTCTCTATGGATATTAGATCTGTTTACATTATCTTAAACTTGCCAGATTCATAGAGGTTGTTTGCTCTGGAGGCCCTAAACTCTGTAATCAACCAACAATGCTATTACCACAACACATTCACCTTACGTCAGTTGTGCGTGGCATTGCATCTAGCACCTAACTCTTTAAGTGTCTATGCATCATGTTGAGAAGAAACCACCTTTTTCTCTTCTGATTTATTTTTGCCTTTATTTATCTTTGACTTTCTGATCTTTTTTTCATGGGACTTATGGTTATTGGCTTAACATCCGTGGGCTTGATGTAGATTCTTATTCTTGTAAATTCATGTGTATACATGTGAGCCGTGAGTGTGTGTGCAGCACACAGTTGCAGGAGCCTATGGCTATTGTAAGAGGGAGCTGGAAGCCATTGTGTGGGCGTCGCAGGCAGCTGTGAGCTGCTGTGTGGGTGCCGCGAGCTGAACCAGGGTTCTTTGTGAGAGCAACGAGTGCTTTTAACCACTGAGGCATCTCTCCATCCAATTTTTAACTTTTCTAGCAATATTTAGATCCGTCCCACATATTAGTTGGCAAAGTAATGTAACGTAGTTGAAAATATTGAATGCAGGATGTAAATTAATCACATTTCACTTATGCTTGATTTCGTTGTCCCCAAGTTGATGAAATAGAGTTGTAATCAGGGTCAGTGGAGGAGATTCATTACACAGGCTTTACACTCAGATTAAACTTGGAAAAGTATGTAAACACCAGCATTCCACTCACAGATAATGTCTTTGAGATTAGTGCTGACAAGAGATGTAGCATTTCTGAGTACTATAGACTTATGTGCGTGAGGAACACTCCATATGCTATGTAACTGCAAATGTTTACTATGTGTGAATGAATTTGGATTTCTACTTGATTATTCATCAGTACCAGATATATATTTTGTAGTATGTAAATAATGTCAGATCTTAAGTAGGTACTGGTGAAAATATAAATTATGAAGTTAATGATTTTATGAATTTGTCTCTGGAAATATACTTTTGTATATATAACTATTCAAATTTCTAAAAGTAACTAAGTGAAGAGTGAATTTCGTATGAATCAAAAACTAAAGGGATTTCAGTTAAAAGTTAAAAAAAAACAAATGAGCGTTAATGATAGGATACAATTAATTATCTTTTCCTAAGCACAGAGATAATTATTTTTAAATCTTGAACAGTACCTCTGTTGGTTTAATCCTGGTTACTATTGATTTTTGAAAGCAGTGTTAAACCTATCATTAAGATATGAAATATTTGTATTTGATACTGCTATTTTTTAATCTACATGACTTTTAATGTGAAACAAGAGGATGTTGAGTTTGAGGCCAGTGTGGAATATATAACTAGTTCCAAGATAACCTGGGCTATACAGTAAGACTCTACCTATCAGTCCATCAGACCCTATCAATCAATCAGACTCTACCAATCAATCAATCAATCAAAAGAATGCATTTACCTCCTGTTCACTCAGGCTTAGGTGGATATACTGTTTCTAGGATTTCTAAAGAAGAGTAAGAGTTCCTATGTGGGTAGTGTATCTGTGAACTCATGTTTAGTTACATGCTTTTCATTTTGGTATTATTTTCCATATTAACACCTTGATGCTATGCCACTAAGAATAGCAAGGATAACCTTCCCATTCCACTTGTCTTATTGATATCTCTTAGTGAGACGGATTATTTGTACAATTTCCCTTTGTAGATCGAAAGACATGACAGCTGTGCCTATGATCACCTAGAAGTTCGGGATGGAGCCAGTGAGAACAGTCCATTGATAGGACGCTTCTGCGGTTATGACAAGCCTGAAGATATAAGATCTACTTCCAACACCCTGTGGATGAAGTTTGTCTCTGATGGCACTGTGAACAAGGCAGGGTTTGCTGCTAACTTTTTTAAAGGTAATCTGCAACAGTTTATTTTATTTATTTATTTTTTTTGGCATGGAGTTGGGGGAAGGTCAGCGCATTAAGCTTTGAGTCTCAGCAGATTTGGATTGGAGATTATTGAAAGTTGAAATATGTCCTCACATCCTGTAACAAGGATGTATGACTGGGAAAAATGAAACTGATTTTATCGCAAAAATTACATCAAACTTACATGTAAGAAATTTATAGGCATTTATTTGAAGTATATCATGTTTGAATGAAAATAGGAAGAATAAATACACTTTCCTCTGCATGGGCTTTTATAGGAAGAATGGGTTAATTTATGTATGCCAAATTCACCAACAGATATCTAAGTGTTTTCATTATTTAAATAGTGCAATTCATTTTCAAGAAGAAGTTGCTCAGGAATTTGCTATATAAATTGGAAGGAAGATAAAGTTATCACTTCAGCTATATAAGTTCATTAAAATACATATTGGCATGGTAATTTTTTTTCTGGATATGTCATATGTCACAGTGGTAGAAATATACTGTTTCTTGTGATTATATGTTTAGCTGTCAAAATGCTTAATATTTTTCTGATGTATGTCTCCATGAGGTGCTTGTATTTGTGTAATCCATATTAGTTTATTTATGAAGAGTAAACTTATAGAGTACCTTGTGTGTGTATGTTTAAAAATAGTGCATGTTTTATCTACATCTGAGAAAAATTGGAGTGAAGTTTATCACATATTAATATTTATTCATTATATAATATACAATTGATATATTTTATATATGCTGTATTTTATACATTAAGCAACACATATATTTATGTAAATATATGTTCTTAATCTAAGTATTTATATTAAAAAACACCAAAACATGGAAAAGATCTAGAAAACTACTAAATTTCATTTTTTAAAATTTGTAATCACTAAAATTTACTTCTTGATGAAGACATTTGCTTAAATCAGTTTGTGTTTGTGTGCATGTGGTACTTGTGTGTTTGTGTGTGCATATGCTGGAAATTAAACCCAGGTTTTCTCATAAGCAAATCATATAGTTTCACATGCAAATCATATATTCTCACATTCAAATCATATAGTTCCGTTATGCAAATCACATTTTATCGTATGAAAACCATATAGTCTTATATGCAAATCATATGTTCTGCCACTCAGCTGTGGGTCTCCAGCCTCTAAAAGGATGTTCTGAGATATAGTTAACAAGTTTTGCTGTGAAATCGCTAAGTGTTGCTGTGCTTTTTAAACTTAATCCCAAAACCTCTTTGGGATTTAGTAATCTCCGTTTGCCCTTAAGTTCAGAATGAAAATTCATTCTGTATTAGATACGATGACCTCCAGTTGAGATACAATGACCTGCAGCAGGTAGGCTTCTACTCTCTTGTTCTAAGGTTTAGATTGTCATACCATGCTATAGGAATAGGTCACACAGCCAAGGATTAGAACCTTTGTTGAGAAATGAGTTGTATGCTTTATAAAGAGCCACCAAACATTATATTTCAATCTCTATTTCAGTTAGATCTAATTGTACTGTTTCTTTCTTGATTTTGTAGAAGAAGATGAGTGTGCTAAACCTGACCGAGGAGGCTGTGAGCAGAGGTGTCTTAACACACTAGGCAGCTACCAGTGTGCCTGTGAGCCTGGCTATGAACTGGGGCCAGACCGAAGAAGCTGTGAAGGTAGGCTCTCTCTCTCTCTCTCTCTCTCTCTCTCTCTCCCTTCATTTTCTCTCATAGCAACCATGGCTGACATGAAACTCTACCTGGTCTCTCGTTCTTGACCTCCATCCTTTCTACTTTTGGTTATGAAGTGTGTATGTGTTTATAGCTCTCCTCTCCCTGGCATCTGGCTGTGTGCATCCATCCACGCATCCCCTCATTGTTCCCTCAGTCATGGATTCTCCCTCACTGCATCTGTACACTCGGCCTTTCCTTCTGTTCTATGACGTTTCTCTTTATTATTTTCTTGACATACTATACGCATAGACCACACATTGTTGCTTGTTACACTAACCAGCCCCAATTTTATCATCATCATATCTTTAGCACCTACCATAGACATATGCATTTAGCACAAATCTAAACATATTTTATGCAATAAAAATTATTATACCATGACACTTTGGTTATTTACATTTCTTCACTGAAATATCACATGAGGGTTTATGTATAATATTTTGTTACCAGGAACTGTAGTCTCTTTCTTCATTTAAAGCTGCTTCATTCAATTTCCTCTTCCTTCATTACATTTAAAAAAATATTTAAATTTCTCTCTCTCTCTCTCTCTCTCTCTCTCTCTCTCTCTCTCTCTCTCT